AAAAAAAAAAAAAAAAAAAAAAAGAAAAGAAAAACAGCTATGTTTATTGACTGCTTACTAATATACCAGACATACATACTATAACCTAATCTCAACTCTTACATAACCCTGTGAGGCATCAGTGTTATCCTCATTTTAAAGGTGAGAATAATTGAGGCTTAGAAAAGTCAAGAATCTCTTCTGGGTCTTTGTTAGCAGGAAAGAAAAAGAATTTTTTTCAACTAAAAAAACAAAGTCAAGTAAATTGCCCAAGGTTATATAATAAGCTCCAGTCAGGACTTAACCCAAGGCTTTTCCGCCCCTAAAGGCCACTGAGGCAGGGGCAGCCTGTCCTGCGCACATGGCCTGCTATGTCAGACGCCTTCAACAACTGCCCGACATTCATCGCAGTCAGGGCTCACCGGAGGACAAGCCCTACACTCCTTGCACTGCAGGAACAAAAGTCCAGCCAAACTTTACAACGGTCCTGAAATACACAATTGGCATTTCTTCTCCTCTTCATGCTGCTCTCAATACCCCATTTGGAGTGCCTTCTCTACTCCTTTGTTTCCAGCCCCTCCACTGCCATGAAGCCTTGATTACTCCACTCCGCAAATTTCTCCCTCCTCTGGGTTCAGTGATTGATAGTATCACTGGTACTTCCTGCGTGCCACGCATCACTATCACCTCTTGTGAAGATAATGTCCTCCCAACTAGACCGCAAACTCCTACAGTGCAGACATCTTAATGTTCCTAGATGTGGCACACACCTAGCACACAGCACTTAATTATTGGGATTGTATTAGGTTTTATAAAAGTTTTTGTTTGTTTTTTGTTTTCAGAGGCACAGGCCATGTATCACCTAACTCTTTCTCAGAACCCCCTTAATCGCTGACCCACATAGCACACAGGCATTGGTGCTCACCTTCCAGGGGAGCCCTCAGCCTTAGCTCCCCCACCCTACCCTAACTGGGCAACAGAAACAGCTCAAGGCCCAATAAAGCATTAAAGAGACTTCAGGCAAGTGGCAAAATGACAGGAGTGAGATAGCTGGGTGTGCTGTGGGGTCCTGGCCTCGCCGCTAACACAGAGCCCCCAGGGTGGCTGAGGCCTCCTACAGTCTTCAGCACCACCGTGGAGGGAGAGCGCTGGGCTGCACAGGCGTCTGGCTGGCTGACTACCGCAATCCTTCCATTGCAAGCATCCACAGTGTGAGGAAGCCTTCTTTGCGTTGTGACCTGCACTCACCTGAACACGTCGTTCCAATACTCCTTTATGTAGGACACTTTATGGAAAGGGATGTCTAAGATCTGGCAAACTCTGTAAGCATCTTCACAGTCTTTGTCGGCAGTACACACCCCATGTTCATCCAGTGAGTCCCAGTTCTTCATAAACACCCCTGTCACCTGGTAACCTGAGGGCGGGAAGAAGGTCAATTAAAGAGAATACATTAATCAACCTTCGGTAAAACGGCAGTGATTTCTGAGCTCTGAGAAGTTCCCCCTACACTGTCCTCCTGTGCCTCTGTGCCTGGCCTGCCTGGCAGTCCCTGCTTTGCCATGTGGCTTCAGGGATCCGGTTTCCGTCTTGGTGCTTGCGTCCCCAAGATGAGCGAGGTGGTATTTTCTCATCTTTGTGTCCCCATCGATGTATCACCACAATGCCTAGCAGGAGGGGCTTAGCCAGTGTGTGTGGAAGACACAAAGGAATAGTCAAAACTCAACAGAATTTTTCAAAGCACCATTCGGTTATCAGAAAAGGAAACTCTTTTCAAAAGTTATTTCTAGTTACCATCTAAGACTTAGACTCTAAGTCATCAGTTATAAAGATAATTAAAATTTTCCTTTTTTTTTTTTTTTGAGACGGAGTCTCGCTCTGCCGCCCAGGCTGGAGTGCAGTGGCCGATCTCAGTTCACTGCAAGCTCCGCCTCCCGGGTTCATGCCATTCTCCTGCCTCAGCCTCCCGAGTAGCTGGGACTACAGGCGCCCGCCACCTCGCC